GCTCCACCCCCTCTCCTTTTTTGTTCCCCCCCCCATTATTTTTATTTTTCCCGCCACTGCCGCCTCCGCCGCCACGGCCACCACCATTACTGTTGTTATTGTTACCGCCGCCACGGCCGCCACCATTACTGTCGTTATTGTTCCCACCGCCACGGCTGCCGTCATTACTCTCATTGTCGTTACCACCACCACGGCCACCACCATTATTGTGGTTGTCATTGCCGCCTCCACGGCCACCGCCATTATTGTTATTGTTGTTGCGGCCACCGCCATTATTGTTATTGTTGTTGCCGCCTCCACGTCCACCACCGTTATTGTTGTTATTGCCATTGTTACCGCCACTGCCACCACCATTGCTGCTGTTATTGTTACCGCCACCGCCGCCCGATTGAGCCATGTTCTTGCTAGCTCAGGGACGTTTACAGAGGAAGGTGGAGAATCAAAGAGAGGTTAGAGTGCTACGGAGAGAGAAAAATGACAAACTTTTTTATTGCGCGGCAAATAACTTGTTGTAAGGGGACCGTTACGAATTTTAATTAACCAATCAATTTGAAGATATGTATTCCATATGATATTAATCAATTTCAATAAATTAGTAATTAGTATTGGTTAGACAAAGTTTCAAATTCAGATTTTGTTTATAAGCTTAATGATTTTGAAACTAAAAATGATCTATTCCAACGGGAAAATGAATCAAATAGCTTGATTTCATTGAGATGATACTGAGTAGCTGTAAGATTTTCAGATTTTCATTGAATGCTAATTATGGTCCCCAGTTTCTTACATAATTCGAAAATAATTCCTGCTTTAATCATCATAAAGCAGTAATTATAGAATCATTGAATACCATAACAATAACAGGTGAATAAAGTTGGTTTTTGTTTCTGAAAAAATATGCAAATAATTTTCACAGCGGGAGAAAACGACCAGCAATGACGACAAGTCGGGCAACAAGCAATCGATCAGTCCAACATGGGTTTAGAACGAGACATGCAGAATGATGAAAGTCATGAAATATTCTACACATATTTTGATAACAGAGCATCAACATCCTTTATACATCAAGTTTCAATGCCCAAATCACGATTAGGTGCATCAAGCACATCAAGTAAAAATATCCGAATTTTGATCAGATTCATGATCAAACGGAAACATGCATATTTTCCGGTGCATCTTTACAAGTCAACATCAACTATAAACACTTCGGTTCGTGTTTGCTTTGCCACCATCGTCCTGGATTATTCCTGATCATCCCTCCGGCGAATTTCAGTGACCTTGCATTCGAAGACGTTCCAGTTTGACCTGCAGAGCAATCAGGGAAAAAGAATTTTATTGATGCGAATGACAACATAGCAGTTTCCAACCTTACAACTTGAAGGTGCAGGTGGATGCATCAGATAAAGAGAGTTGATTGCAGTACCCCTTGAGATAATCGTGGTTTACCAAGTATGCTCTCTTCACATACTTTTCTATAAATTTCATTTATTTGGAACTTCTGACCAAAAGAGAGAAAAAGAGATGAATGATTTTTGGTAAATTCCTTCTTTTGATATGTATATATATTGTTCTGACAAGTATTACTATTTTAAATTCATTCAACCCGACAGGAAATATTTGTACCTCATTCTCAAAGCTGAAATGATACCAAAGCAATGTGCAGTTTTGGAAAAGTATGTTCATAAAGAGGAAATGGTAGCATACCATGAGTTGTTGACTGCTAAACTCCTCATGGTTCATCGGATAAACCCTATTGGAACATGAAAATACTCCAACTAATAACGGATTCCTTCATCTATTGTTAACACGAAAATTATCAATCGTAGAGGTATCATGCATCTCCAACAACTTATAGCTTCTATCTGTCAAAAGTGCTGGTTGCCAATAATTTTAACCTTTTAAATCCTAGTTTAATCTTCTTTGTTCATAAATTCCTCTAATGACCAATCACAGCTGCTGGCATACAACTCAACTCATATTTCTGACTTTCAGTACCGTACCTCCTAGACTAGACCTCCACAAAATATTTCCCTATCCTAGTCTGTGACAAATATTTTGACAACATGCATCATCAACTTTTTTATATACTCCTCCTGCAAAGCGACCTTGTCCTTGCTTAGATGGAGCCAAGAAAAAACCTAGAGTCTCCCCAAAATCCTTTCATCCAGCATTTTGCATAAACATTTATAATCTGCAATTTAACCTTCACTCGTCCAAGACAACAAATGGAAAAGAGATTTTAAATCAAGCTATGATGTAACAACATAACCATAAACTTTTCCACGTCCTATGCCTATACTTCCCCTCTGGTGAGTTACAAGTATACTTGACAAACCTGATACTGCCCTTCAAAATCATATGTGCACCACTAAGACTATCAATATCTACCATTCCTAATTATAGCCCACATCCATTGACACAAAAACTACCTTTCCCCTCAGGCATTGTTATTTAAAAATGGTCTAATTCATAAATGGGGAGCCACATTATGATTTATGAGCATATCCAAACCTTTTTGCAAATTGATATGAAGAAAACTGCATCACAATTCACAGTTAACACACTTATTATTCAAAGACATGTTACTTCATTGCTCTATATTATCTATCCAAAATCTGATGTTAAATTGCTCATTTAATAAGATAAAACTGTAACATCCATAGCTAGCAAGTAAACATACTACTAATTGCATTGCTTAAACAAAGAGATTCTCACCAGAAATAACATCATTGCGCTCCAAGCTTTGTTGAACTCCACCACCATTGTCGTCAGCAACTTCTCCTTTCTTAACCCAAACCCTCCCAGCATAACCTCTCTGTTTCTGCATATCACAGCGACCAGGCCTCTCATAATAAGCACTAATTCCTCCATTACCACGGCGATCAATTATTCTTGGTCTCTTCAACTCATCATCCCCTTTTCCAGTCTCACCATTCACCGATAAATCCCTCAATTTCGGCACAATCTCCGCAGTCGGAAGCATATTCTCGCTCTTTGCCCTAATTTCGATTTCAGGTCTCTTTTCTTCCTTCCCTGTCGCCTGATCGTCTCCCTTCTCGCAACTCGCTTGAGGCGCGTCTACTATACATTCCTTCTCGGTCACTTCCTCCTCCTCTGCCCTAACATTCTTCCACGACTTTTTCTTCTTCGACTTGTTCTTCTTCTTCTTCTTCCATAACTTCTTCTCCTCTGGTTCCCCATTTTTCTTCCCCTCCAGCTCAGCACCCTCGCACTCCGAAACAGTCCGATTAACCGGCCCAAACTTTGTCCGACCATTGCGATTCCTAGGCTTGAAATCGGCTTCGGTTTTCTGTACGGCGGGTTGCTTTTTCCCCTCCAGCTCAGCACCCTCGCGCTCCGAAACACTCCGATTAACCGACCCGCGCTCCGAAACACTCCGATTAACCGGCCCAAACTGTATCCTATCATTGCGATTCCTAGGCTCGAAATTGGCTTCGGTTTTCTGTACGACGGGTTGCTTTTTCCCCTCCAGCTCAGCACCCTCGCACTCCGAAACACTCCGATTAACCGGCCCAAACTGTGTCCGATCACTGCGATTCCTAGGCTTGAAATCGGCTTCGGTTTTCTGTACGACGGGTTGCTTTTTCCCATCCAGCTCAGCACCGTCGCACTCCGAAACACTCAAATTAACCGGCCCAAACTGTCTCCGATCACTGCGATTCCTGGCCTTGAAATGGGCTTCGGTTTTCTGTACGACGGGTTGCTTTTTCCCCTCCAGCTCAGCACCCTTGCACTCCGAAAAACTCCTCCGATTCGCCGGCCGAAACTGTGTCTGATTACTGCGATCCGTAGGTCTGGAATCGGTTCGGGTTTTCAGAACGACGGCGTTTTGCTTCTGTTGCTTTGCCTGCTCTTCTCGGAGCTTTTGCTGTCGGAGCTCCTCTTCTTCTTGTTCCTTCACCTTTCGTTGTCGTTCCTCCTCATCTTGTTGTCGTTCCTTCTCTTTGAGCCAGCGCTCTTTGAGCTCGAGAATGGTGACGTAGTTGGTGGGTAAAGACGAGGGCTTCTTGTTGGTGAGCTCCATTTGAACACTCACAAAAGCAGATTTTTCGCTCCACAGTACACTTGAGATTTCAATGAGGAAATATCAAAGACAAAACGAGCCTCTTTTCCTTTTCCTTTTTCTTTCTTTAATAAAATAAATAAATATTAAAACTTGAGGAAGAAGCTAGAGAACTCAAATTATTGGCATCTCAATAAAATTTAGTTACGCAAATGGAAACACAAAAATGCTAAATCTTATAGTTTGTATTCTCGCAAAATAATTATTAAATATTCATTTCGATGGTTAATGGCAATGCAATGGCCGGATTTGCTTTTGGTAATATAAATGGTATTCTTTTAATTACAGGATATATCATATGGGGTATTATTACTTATGATTTATAGAATGAAGAAGTGATACTTAAACATGTACTTCATGGACATATCGTCTACATATTTTCAATCTTAAGATTGAAGGAGAATTGTAAACGATGCGTCTATTAAAGTGCATGTTTAAGTGTCATAAATTCTTACTAAAGCTGAAGAAAGATTCTCTTGTTGTGTTTTGTTTAGATTAAAATTTGATTTCTATGGTCTAAGAATCCATATAAGATACTCTTTTGTAATTTCTTTATATATTTAAGAAGAAGAAAAATAGAGATGAGAAGTGAGGTACTCACGTCTAATTCAGTTTTTTTTTTTTAATATATAAAATTAGAGTGTTGCTCAACGAACCCTAATATTAACTAAGTACATCCTAATATTTTAATTAAAATGTAAAATTAACTAAGTATACCCTATTTAACTACTAAAAATACCCCTGATACACTAATACAATCTATCACACAATACCCTAATTCTAATCCTAAATCAGGTTTCTCTTTTTACATGAATTCGTTCCCTCTTTTCATATTTTAGGTTGGCATTAAAATCTTTAATTTCGTAAGCTACTATAGAAGTAAATTTGCTAACTCCTTCAATTCAAAGCTTCATCATCTTACTTCTCTTCAGCGATGTTTTAGTGCACATGCACACAAGAAACAAATTGAGTTATAAGGAAATCAAAGTGTGCATATTCATGGCTCTGTTATCCTTTTTCAAATCAATGATTTTCATCAAGATTCGTGGGCAAAGAAGCAGGGTCAAACTTAAAGGATTCTTTTGGAACACCATCTCATTCATCATCAGTTATCTTGAATGACAGAATTCAATGAGAAAATCTATATAGCTCATTGGGTGGTACTTGAAACAAGATCCATATACTAAAACATACTGACAAATTCTTTTACTGGAACCAAGCAATAGAAAAACTTCTCTAAGTTTGACTAGGGCTGAATATAGTGAATATGGTGTACTTATTAAACTTGTGTTTGTTTCACAATTCAATATATCTTTTTTGGTCATTTTATATTAAGGTAAATTAGTAATTCAATAAATAGTTTGATAGTATAGTGTACTCAGTTAATTTTAGGGTTCATTTAGCAACACTCTAAAATTATTACTATTTTATAAACTTTATTACTTAATTGCGCATTGGATTCCTCGTCAGCCGTCTAGTAGGGGATTACTAGACTAATCATTATCTTTGATGAGTTATTTACATTTTTCTAAAAACTTTTAGGTCATATCAATAATGAGGACCAATAAATGACATGAGTCGTACAAACAAAACAACGTCGTAATTAGTTGGATCGTGTGAACTTATTTTCATGAATTCATTGATTTTTTTTTCCCTGATATTTACCAACTATTGATCTAGTGTCTTTTTTTTTCGCCAATTAGAATTACCAAAAAAGATCCTCCAAGAATCCCAATGAGATTTAAAAAACAGACAACAGAAAGTTAGCAATCCCAATAAGATTTAAACCTTGCAACCTAATAATATTATTATTTTTGTATATTAAAAAAAATACAAATTTATAAATAAACCCAATCCTAGACATGTATTTATAAAAAAACCCAAGCACTATTTAAACATAGAAACACACCCAAAATCAACCCCAAAGTCAACTTTTTGGGTGTGTTTATAAATGGGTTTTGAGTGTGTGTAATGATGGGTTTTGGGTGTGTTTATATGTTTAAATAGTGTTTGAGTTTTTTTATAATTTCAACCCCCATTTTGGGTGTTTTAGTGAAACTCCCTAAAAAAAAACCCACCTATATATTTTGTGTTGAATTAAGTGGGCTCTTACTATTGGGCTATGACCATGAAGATTGATTGCAAAAAATGAAAAAAAGGGCCCATGGATTGAAAACCCAACATAACCAACCCATACGACCCAATGGCCTACGGCAAGCTTGGCATCCGGTCTTTGCGCGACGTTTCCCGCGCAACCATACTCAGTGACCTGGCAGGCACCAAAAGCACCGCAAAAGCGCGCTAATAGGGGAGTAGAGAAAAAGGACGCTTTTGTCAAAAGCACAAAGAGAGAGAGAGCAAGGACCCCGTTTGATCAACAGCCTCAATCGCGCGCCACGTGTAACCCCTCCCCTGTCCTCTCTCTCTTCCTGTACGTTTTAAACTCCCAATGACTCATCCTCCAATCAGATTCTATCTCATTCGGTTGCATGCAAATGAGAGGCATCGAGTTGACACGTAACAACACTGCCAAATATAACCGACCCAGAAAGGAGAGGCAGTTTCGTAATTTCCCGAGTAAAACAAAAAACCACCCAAACCAATCGTGATAGGTGTACCCACGCATGGCGGCCAAACCCACACGCGTTATAATGAGAGGGTGTTTGGTTACAAGGGAAGGCATGCAAGCCAGGCGTCTGATTGGTGGTTGAGAGTCCCAGCTACGCCCAGCCCTTGGGTTCAGTGGTTTATGTGAAAAGTTACAGTGGACCTGTCCTACCAACAGTGTTAATTCCCACAAGTAACTTATTCTGAGCTCTCACAAACACGTACCCACCGTACAATTCCAAGTGGCACTCTCTGCTTTCTCGTTGCTTCATGTTGCCCTTCTCTCATTGGTCACTTGTCACTCTTAAAAACACCCGTTACAAGATCACTCCCTCTTCAAAAACCACTGCAAGTCCTCATCCTCCTTCCCCATCTCCTCTAACACCCGTTACAAGATCACTCCCTCTTCAAAAACCACTGCATTTCCTCATCCTCCTCCCCCATCTCCTCCCTCACTTCCTTCTTCACAGCTCTCCTCTGCCTGCCTTCTGCATTTCTATCTCAAAAGCTCTCTTTTGGGTCTCCAGTGATCACCATTACAGAATAGCTGGTGGAGATTAGACTTTTGCTGTCAAGAAAAGCACCTACCACCATGATCAAGACACTCAATCCTTACAACACCAACACAGAGAAAACTGCTGAGATTATGTCCAGGTATAGGCCCATAGCACCTAAACCAGAGACCCCAGCAAACTCGGCAGGTGAGAATCCATCCTTATCTCAGAAGATCAGAGAGTCTCCTTACCTTAGAAACCTCTGGCCACAATTGCAGGCCAGACCCACCAGGACTAGAAAGAGAGGTCGATCTGCTCTGTCACCAACAACCTTCAGGAGGCAGAGGACCCATCATGTGTTTGGGTTTTCTACCCCTTGTCATGTAACATCTCCGGCTAAAAATCTCACCTTGGATGGTTTTGCTCATGCTCTTTCACAGCTTCCCATACCAACAAGCTTTGATGCAGTCAAAAGCACCAGTTTGATGACTCTGCCTCTTCTTCAATACCCTCCTCCTCCTTCTCCTCCTCCTCCTCCTCCATTATCAGTTCCTGTTGTGACCAACCAAGCAATGGTGCCAGCTGAGTTTGAGTTAATTAAATCTTGTGAAGGAGAAGAGAAGCTGATAGATTTGAACACTGTGGCTGAAATTCCAGAAGAAAAAGATCTGCTGCAGCAACTACAAGGAAGTGCCCCTACCCTTACACCAATCAATGTCATAGCACCTCAGCCAGTTCGACCTGTGGGCTCCAGCATAAGTGTTGGGTGCATCAAAACAGACCCAAGCCTAGCCCCAGCAGAGCAAGCTCCTAAGAAACCAGAGGATGTTGAGGACGAGGTGGAGTCTGAGGCCCTGCCAGCAATCATATCAGATTCACAAAACAAGGTGAGGATGGCAAACTCTGCTTACAAGGAGATGGTGGGCCAGCCAGAATGTTCATGGCTCGATTCTATGGTGGCCAGTGATGGGCGTTTCGGAGGGAGCTCTTGCAAGAGGATCAGTGGGGAGGTCATACTTGAGCTTTCTGAGTCAGGGGTACCAGTTTCATCAAATGGGTTTTCATGCTGGGTGAGGATTGAGTGGGGAAATGAGATGAACAAGCATGCAATCAATGCTTTCTGTGATGTGATCAAGCTGTCCTGTGAGACTAAGGACTACCTCTTTAGTTGGAGGTTCCACACTCAAAGCAAAGAGGGTACCAGTTCTTCTAATGCTTGAAATGTCAAATAATGTAATTAAAATGTAGTGTAGCTAGCCCACTAGAAAGTGCACCTTCAGTGTCCACTATATATATTTTTTTTCATGTATATGCATATATAAGGAGTCTTAGGCTGAGTATATGTATAGTTTGGTCAGCCTTTTTAAGATAGAGAAACTTGTTCTGTTGTTCATCATCACAATTATTTTCAGTTCAACAACACTACATAACTAACAACAGGGATGATATGAAATCAAGATTGATGAAGACACTAAGCATAGGTACTCATAGGCCTCCATAAGAGGAATGTCATATGCGCGCGGTATCCGCTGCACTCTTTTCACTCTTTGCGGGGCCCTTCCACTTGAAGTTCTCTGCATATGACTTAACCTACGCATGATTAAAAGCTTAAATTAATACATACTCCAGACAAGCACCATACATAACTTGAAGTTGTCCCTGTTCCTAATATATCTGACAATGATTCAATCTTGTTCCTAATCTATCTGACAATGATTCAATCTTCAATCTTTTTTTGTTTGAACCCCATTTCTCTTTGTTCACCTCATATTCTAAGTTCACCCCAACTTCTAATTCAAAATTTCACAATTTCTAATAATACCCTATTATCTTCTCAAACTATCCCTAAATACACACTCAGTAGAAAAAAATAAAATAAATAAAACTTATCAACCTCACACCCTACCCCCCGCTGTCTTGCAGCGCAAAACATTGTTGTCAAATGTGTAACCGTATTTTTTTAAAAAAAAATTGAGAATAAACTAGCTGGTTTTGAGAGAGAAATGTTGACAGCTAAATTGATATGTAAGTTATCATCATTAAACATGAAGAATGGTGGGATGTGTAATAGATGTATTAGGGTTAAGTATTAAGTTGGATGACCTTTTTTGTCTTTTTACACAATTATAAAACTTAAGTGCTTAATAATTTAAGTATTAGGGTAAAGAAAGAAAAGTGTGGGGTTTAAATAGAAAAACTTAAAGAAAATTCCCAAACCTTTAAAAGTGGTGTGTGGCGCTTCTTGACCTGCACAACAGTTCGGTGTGTCAAGAGTGTGCAATATTGAAGAATTTTACTTCAATTTGACAAGTACAAATAGAAACTTATCGGCAAAATTTTGAGGAGGAACACACCGTATAGTCCCAACCATGTCTCTCAGCGAAGTCCTTTGCAGCTTCTTCACTTTCAAAAGTCAGTCCTGCCTCACCAACATTGGCATAGGGATCACCTGTGGAAGTCCAACCCATCAATGGGTTTTCCCACCTACACAAAATGCCAATGAAGCCATTCAACAGTAAATTGAATTCCAGATCAACAAATATTGCTTGTTAAAATTGTAAAAGGAAACAGAGCACAACTAATTGCATCATAGTAAATGACCAAATGTTAACTATATGAGATTGAACAAGCTGGGTTATGCCCCAACGCTACAGATATATATAATAATTATATAAAATCTGTGGAATTAACAAAATTTATAGCCTAATTATGCATGCATAAGGTGCTCAATCCAATAACATACGCACTTCTGTGTAGAAAGAAAATTAATTTTCCATTTCCCGACTTTCCCAGAACCTTGTTGGGTTGCAGTTCGAGCAGGTGAATAGATTATAACCTGGGCACGCCCAAATCCAAATAACTCAAAATTAACTTCCTCTAAAAATAAATTTTCGCATGAAAAGAAAAGTTCGAATTTTTTCAAGTGATTAAAGAGCGTACCCTTCGTCGTAGATGTTCCTCAGGGATTCCAGAGATGATGCCGACGTCATTGGTTCTGGTCTCCACCAACGCCTCCGATTGTGAAGAGAGCCATCTTGGCCGCGATAGCATTTGAGCTCGAGCGAGGTTCAAGCCCTGTCGTAGAGATCTCGCCATTTTTGCACAGCAAAGCTTCGAGGTTCCTCAGGCAAAAAGCACAACAATGTTTCTGTGACGAAGCCCAATCGCCCCACCACGAGTGGTTGATGTACCATGGGAATTACCAGAAGGTTCCCGAGAGTCGGCCCTTTTGCGCCAGAATCATGCCACGTAATCACTGCACAACACTCCCTTTTTTTTTGGTCTTATTTTTCAAAATTTAATTTTGTTTAGAATGTTGGGAAATTTAACTTTTAATCACCAAATAATGCGAGGATTTGATTTGATTTTCTTTAGAATATGAGGATTTTGATTTTCTTCAATTACATCTGAACATTGAAATTACGTTTTTTTAATAATAATTTTAAATAATGAGTCTTACTTTTTTTTATATAGTTCATTGGTACATTGAAAAGTGTTTTTTTTGTGTGTGGTAATTTTAAGCGTTGGTTTCACTTTTTGCGAAATTTAGCATTAAACTTTAAATTGTCACACATGATCATCAAACACTAATGCAATATTTTAATGAACTTTATGACATGTTTATTTATATGAATGAGTATTGGAATGTGATTCTAATATATGGGTATGGAAATGATTTTAATTCATGACTTTCATGTTCGTTTATTAATATATAAGGAATAAAAAAATTATATGAGTTTTACATTAAAATTCATGATAAAATATTTTCAAAATCATGAATATGATCAATTAGGGAAGCAATTGATCCACTTTCAATTTCTTGATTCCCCTATATAAAATTCGTTAATTCATAATTTTCTTCATTCCTAATAAGTAAAGTAGATGTGAACGTCGTAGGTGTTTGCAACATTGTTTTTCTTGTTGGAATATTTAAAAGTAGAGATGCTTTTGCTATCTAATTATGAGTTGTCATGTGACAGATTATGTAGCCTATTCTAATTATGAATCAAAATATAAACATGTGCAATACATCAAACATAAACAAACGAAGTTATAGTAAATGAGTTGTCATCTAGAATTTTAAAATTTATTTTCATGTATGTGAACATTATTAATCTTTTTATATACCCAAAAAACCATCATCAATCAACTGAAGCCCAAATGGCATCATTGGGAATTGACTTCCAGGCAAACATGAACCGGGCTTGACACTTTCACCATTGGACTGATTCATTGGAGGCCGGGCAATACCGGCTGAGCACATTCCCTAATTTCAAATTTCCCATTTGTTTCTTTCAACTAACAAATGCCATTTGTTCTTAGTTTGCATCGATAGCAGCCTCCCTGATGTTACGTCCTTGTCTTCTTCTGCCCCCAAAACACGCCGTCCCTCTTGTTAACGCATCACATTCATATAGCTCCATAACATCACAGCTTCTCACAGGCAGCAATTGAAGCTCAGAAGAATTAATGGGGTCCAATTACAAAGCAGCTTCAAGGCTCTCTGATCTCGAGCTAACACGTTCAGACCTGAAAACCTTACTGAAAGCAACGGCCAAGATGGAAGAAAGCCTCCGAAAGATGGACAACAAGTTTGAGGTCATAGACGAGACTCTGTTGACATCTTCAAGAAGAGTGGCCCCTTTACAGTCGTTAGCCATGGCCACCAAAGCCTTGGAGACTAGAATTAACAGAGCTGTAACTCCAGCTCTTGCTCTTCTCGACAACTTCAAGCTCTCTGAGTCAATCCAGCACAAGCTGCTCGAGCTCTCGGAGAAAATGTCAACCGAGAAATCAATGAGCAAAAGGCTCAAGAAACTTGTGAAATATGTGGATTGTGTTGATCAGCTTAAGGTTTCAATCGATTGTATTTGTCAGGAGGGAGAACCAGTGATCCAGAGGCTTCAGGAGGTGGTGGAGTTCTTGAGCCGGACGAAGGCGACTGATCAATACAGGACGCATAGGTTGAGAGAGACTCTGGTCACTCTCAAGGCTCTGTATGAAACAGAGGTGGATGCTATGAGATTTGAAGGGTTGCTTGATGAGGCTCTGCTGAATTTGCAGGATGAGTATGAGAGCATTTTGGAGCAGATAAGGCATCGAAATGTGGTGGAGTTGCAGGCTGCTGATAAAGATGATGGGGGTGATGAGATGGTGATAATGGGTTCTGATTTGGGGACTGAGTTGGAGGTTGAACTTCTTAGAAGGATTTCACAAACCCTAGCTGCCGATGATTGCTTGGACATATGCATCGATATTTATGTTAAGGTAAAGTCAGCATGATTGCATCCTCCTCAGTTTTGAGTAACGTTAAAAGCGTCACATTTTTAGATCATATTAGCGAATCACATTATGTGACAAATTTACTTAACTTGTGACACCATTTGCATGAATGTATGCTTTACATATAATCAACATTAATTAAGCTGAATGTTGCGTGAATGTATGATCTACTAAAAGAACATTAATCCATGTAGCAATAGAGGCCCTTTGAAGTTTAAATTTTAATAGTTATAATTTTTGGTGTTCAACAGGTGAGATACAAAAGAGTTGCCAAAGCACTAATGAGGCTAAACCCAGAGTACTTAAAAAGTCACAGCACAGAAGAAATAGATGAAATGCCATGGGAGAGCTTAGAGACAGCCATAACCCTTTGGATCCAACACTTTGAACTTGCAGTCAAAGCAGTGCTTGTATCAGAGAAGAAGCTCTGTGAACAAGTACTAGGCGGCATAATGGAGGGTTTGATCTGGCCAGAATGCTTCGCGAAAATCGCAGACAAAATCATGGCGGTGTTCTTCAGGTTCGGAGAAGGCGTAGCCAGGAGCAGCAAAGAGCCCCAGAAGCTGTTCAAGCTCCTGGACATGTTCGACTCCTTGGAGAAGCTCAAGCCTGGATTCTCTGAGGTGTTCGACGGCGAATCAGGAGCCGACATCTGCATAAGATTCAGGGAACTTGAGAAGCTTCTCATTCATGCTTCAAGTAAAGTGTTTTGGGAATTTGGGCTTCAAATTGAAGGCAGTTCAGATGGATTGCCTCCACCTCCAGATGGGACAGTGCCTAAAATAGTAAGGTACGCTGTGAACTACTTGAAATACTTAGCAACAGAGAATTACAGTGTCGCCATGGCCAAGGTTTTAAGAACAGAGCAAATTTGGAAAGCAGGGATTTTGTCCAAACCGGAAACTGATGAGAATCTGCTCAGAGACGCCATTTGCAACATCATGGAAGCTTTACAGAGGAATGTGGAGGCAAAACGTTCGGGTTACAATAACAACAGCAGGGACAAATTGGGTATTTCAATACCTCTTCCTCATCTGTTTGCCATGAACACTTACTGGTACATTTACATGAGGACCAGAAACACAGAGCTCGGGAAGCTCTTGGGAGACCAGTACTTGAAAAAGAACTACAAAGTGGTGGCCGAGGAATCTGCTTACATGTACCAGAAGCAGGCGTGGGTCCCGCTGGTGAGGATCTTGGAGCAGGATGATCTGGAGAAACAGAGCAAAGAGGCGAAGGTGAGGCTGGTGAGGTTGAAAATTGAGGCGTTCATGAAGGGCTTGGACGACATTTCCAAGAGGCACAAGGGGTTTTGTGTTATTCCGGAGGTTGACTTGAGGCAGCAGATTAGATCGGCTACCTTGAAGCTTGTGATTCCGGCTTACACTGAGTTCTTGAACTCGTTCTCGGCCGCGTTGCAGGGGACGTCGTATTTGAGTCCCGAATCGGTTCAGGAGGTGCTGGGTCAAGTTTTTGACGATGAGGATGGGAAGCTTAAGCGCCGTGGTTCTAGGGATCGGACGGGTGGTGGGAGTTCGGGGATGGACGGTAAGATCAAGGACTTTCGACGATCTATATCGAATACCAGTGACTTGTGAGAGCCTTGATGCCGTTGAATTGAACTACTTTTTTATGTATGAGTTTGATGGTAGTGCATATAAATGCAAGCAGTGTGTATTGAAAGAATTCTTAGTAGTTATTAATAGTGATTCTTCGCGTCATAGAGTTACAAATCGATTTCTCTTCACTATACCAAATTTCTTGGTAAAATTACAGAACTTTAAAAATAAAAATAAAAAATTATACCCCATTAGGTTTTAATTATATCAAAGGAATGTGCATCATATATTTGATGGGTATCAAAGGAATGTGTCTCATAATTTCTATAAGCTCAATGTTGATAGAGCTACTAACAACACAACAGGCTTGCATAGTATAAGTGCAGTTGTTCAAAATGATTATGGAGTTTTTATGGGTGCTCTAGCTATGCAAGGCCCTTGTGGGATTTCCATTATAGCTAAAGAATTGCAAACAATTTATATAGGAATTTTATTTGTTGCATATGCTATTTTTTCCATCTCCTCATAGCAATTAACTCTTTTGAGGTTGTTATGATGATTAATTTATGGGAGACTATGTGGGCTAATGTCGGCAACATTGTGGATGATGTGAGAGACTTGCTCGTGCAGTTTTCTTTTAAGGAAGTCAAATTTCGACCTAGGGAGTGTAATAAAGTAACTCATACTATTGCTTGTATTGCTTTACACGAACAATGTCCTCATTATTGATTAGAAGAAGGACCTGTGTGACTAATGAATTGTATTATTGATGACCTTATTGTAACAAATGCTTCTGGTTAATAAAATATACTTATTTTTCGAGGAAAAAAATGATGGGTATGAAGAAGAAAATAAATGTGCCGAATATTTGAGAGTTTGAATATAAGATCATTGGTCTAGACCACACTGTCATTATTGCACCGAATATATATATATATATATATTTGTAAAACCAATAGTCTAAATTAGAGGGAATGGAGACTTCACGCACACAACTAAGATGCTATAGTGATTTGAACATGAGACCTTTTGTCTGCAAGTCAAAGCCATTTTTATTGAGTTAGATCCCATGACTTATAACATTGAATATTAAGAGTTGATAAATAAGTGTATTTTCACTAAAATTAACAATTGTCGGGGGAATATAGGGAAATAAAATAGGTGGGGAATATTTTTCTTAGATGAAAAAAAGAGTTGCCAAATAAAAGAATGAAATACCATATATTTGTGGGTCAGCAGATTTGTTGGTCTTAGCTAAGCCCAAGTTTACCAACAAACGAAAAAAAAAAAACTGTATCTATGTAATAATCTGATAAATTACAATTGTACCCCCACAAACCCTGTAAATGTACTGGTCGAAGAATGATTCCAAAATTCAACCCAACACGTTGAAGAATGATTCCCTATGGTCGAAGAATCTCCCAAATTCAATTCAACACAACACTTCTCTTTCCATTGTCCAAAACCACCACAACAACAACCCGTATTTCCCACCAATTTTTTTCCTCAGAAAATTCCCAAATTTACCTGGAAAATCAAGCCGAATACCAAACCAAAAATGTCGACGATCAAAGACACAAGTCTCACAATTGATGAATTGGGTTGTTCCGTTTCCTTCGCCGATTTCCCCGAGGACGTCCAGCTCTGCGTTCTCTCCTTCCTCACGCCTCCCGAGATCGCCAGCGTCGCCTGCACATCGAAACGGTTCGTTTCGCTATGCAAAAACGATGGCAAGCTTTGGTTCTCTATGTGCGACCGCAGGTGGGGCTCCAAGACCCAGATCAAGAAATGGGGAAATGGGAAAATCACCTACAGAATTCTCTACCAGACCCTCAGCGATTGGGAAATTCTGATTGGATTCTGGCGCCAAGGCGGCATCGCGACATCTCCACCGTTGATTTTCTTCGAGTGGGGCCCATCGTTCATGACCGGCTTCCGGGTCTCTCCAGCCAAGGACGGTACATACGGTGTCGTAAAGGCACCCTTTTTGTGGATGAGTCTCTCGCCGGAGGGCCAAGTTGTGAACTTTCTCGACCCGGAAGGCCGGACCGAGATTTCGGAAGATTTTGCTAATTCCAAGCGGTTCAAGTTTGCGGAGAGTGATTTAGTTCCGGTCAATTTGAGCTTAATGGGGAAGACCCATTTTGTTGTGGAGGAAGATATGAGCTTTGGGGCTCGGAGAAGCTCCAGCTCAGTTAGTGGACGCGGAGACGATGGTGGGGTCGGTGAGGATTTGATTGGAGCCGAGACTAGTGGGTCCCCAGGGACATCACCGGACCAGTTGGTGGTGGAGATTTATCAGTACTTTGCGAACCGGACTAGCCCAGGTGGAGATAGAGCTTCGAGGAGGCAGAGGAGGAGAGAGAAGGAAAAGCAGGCCAGGAGGAAGTTGGAGCCTCAGCATTTCGTCAAGATTGTTGATTGCTCGCCTACACCAACTCGGCCTTTACAGGGCCTATGGAAGGTGCCTTTTTTTTCTTTATGCTTGTATGTTTCAGCTGAAAGTTGGAAAATCCGTTGTTTTATGCTTTAAAATCGTCGTTGCAGTTTCTATGCCTAATTACAGAGATACAGATATTGACATCTTCTCCTGATTTTGCTTATTGTGAAGTGCTTGTCGGACAAACTATGCCATTCAGTGTTGGTGGACTACATTTTATTTAGTTTGTATTTTGGAATTTAGAACTGGCTCCCGAATTTGCGTCCAATCTTATAAGACTATTCTCTCCAAGAATTTCCATTGGTTGTATTTCTGAGTGTTTTGCTTCGATAAGGTTAGTACTGGATGGTTTATCAGGTTGGTCTTCGTGTTCTTAGAATATACAAACAAATCCACATCAATTTGTTATGTAGGAGAATTAGGAACAGAGAACTGTCTACATGAATCCCTTATTTTAGAAATGCTTGAATATTGAGGTCGGTGCTTATGCTTCATTGATTTCTACCAAGTAGAACTCCCAAACTACTTGGTATAAGGCTTAATTGACCCCCGCTTCTTCTTCCAACTGCAGGGAATTTATGATGACATGACCTTGGGTTTTTACCTTGTTGCATATGATGACATTGGGGGCATTTCCTGCCAAAAGGTTTGCGACTCGTCTGGAAATTTTTGCAGCTTCGCACGTGTTATCAGGAAACACCCGGTCTTTTGGACAATGAACCCTACTTTTATTGAATCTCCATTTTCCCCAGAGGAAGAAAATTTGTATACTAGTCGGATACATCTTCAACCAACTGCAGCAGCAGATCACATTCACCAGCATCTCCCTCTCACAGGAAACAAAGGAGTCTCTCGCATTCTTTGCATAAACTTCAGTCATGATCTGGCTATTCCATACTTGGCAGGAACTACCACAAACCCACTGCATGCTCAGGGGAGGATTTGGCAGTATTGGGATGGAACGTTTGGGTTTGGATTTCTTCAAGATAGTTTTATCAGAGACCTGAAGCATGTTGCCAAGAATGGTTGTCTTCTTGACACCGCGGAGCATTTCTTGTGACTGATGTACTACTTTGGGATTTTTTTTATTTTTTATTTTTGTACAGACTCCCTTTGCTTGATGCCCTGTGGCCCTCTGTACTATAACTTCCATTGCAAAACCAATGGTTGAATTTCTGTAAATTTTCTTCTGTGGAATCATCTAATAAAATGTTCAATTACCTGTTGGCTCATAACTAATGACATATTTACTAATCCGTAATTGGATTAGGATGAATTGAATTGAGGAGTTGGATTGAGGAGAATTAGATTATGGATTCCTATTGAAGTTGTTCATTAAACCATATGAATTGAGGAGAGTTAGATTCCGGATTCCTATTGAAGTTGTTTACTATATCATATGGAATTGGGGTAGGAGTGATACTAATTACTAAAACGCCCTCATTGTTGGGTTAAAGTAGATGTCAAATTCAGAATTTTTAAAATTGTGTGAGGATATAATGGGTAAAAAAGATGAATTTCTAATGGATTTGTTATTCAGGAATTAGAATACCACCTCCCTTACTTTTTAATTCCTTGATGTGAAGTAAACAAAGGAGAATTCCTTGAATAGGTGGAATTCAATTCTTAATGAGAATTCCAATTCTTAATTAGTAAACACACTATAAATCTCTATACCATTTTTATTACTTTCAATTTAAGACCACTCAGCTTGAATAAGAACTGTTCTTTTGGTGTTAGAGAGCTTGCATAGTAAGACAGAGAGAACAATGTGACTTCTCAACATTTATTCAAAGCCAACAAGAACACAATAAGAGGAGGAAAAAAAAGCCTCATTTGGGTCTTTATGAAAGGGGCTAGTTGAAAATAGGTTTCGGCATCTCATTGTAGCATTCACAACCTCACAGCAAAACTAAAAAACAGCAAATGAATGAACCCACACACTTCAATTATACATAGGACTCCATCTGTATCAGGGACAGCAACACCACATAAAGAAGGGATGCTAAGGGGAAAAAAAGTTATCCATTCTTTGTATCATATCTCGGCAGCAACTTCTCTGGCACTGGCATTCTCATCGACGGTGTTCTTCTCATAGTCACCCTCAAGCTGGCTTAAGTTTCCTTTCTCCTTGATGAGTTGGGTGTGGTGGTGTTTGCAGTAGAGTCGGCCCTCGTGCGCAATATAGTTTGATGGGCTGATCGTACAACCTCCATGTGAGCATTTGAAACACATCTTGTGGTAAGGAGTTCCATTCACAGTAACCTATTGATCAATCTCAAAATATTAAGTGTTAGGTTTCTTTGTTGATAACAGCATGTGGAGAAATGATAATTTCAGAAGTTGGTCTTACCTTTTCTGTTGGATAAACAGTATTCTTGCAGCCAAAGCATTTATCTCTGGTTCCACCAAACATACTTGAAGCTTTGGCTACTGCAGGTTTCTGTTAAAACAGTTTATCATCAAGATGATGAGCAGATATTAAGGACTTGTATAATCCATATTAAAGCAATTAAATTTCTGGGGAATATGTACCTCACTATCAACAGGTCTCTCTGGTTTTACAATTTTTGGTGTCCCTGAAAAGGAAAATGAAACAGAATTTGATCACCTTTAGCCCACAGAGAGAGAGAGAGAGAGAGAGAGAGAGATTTAATTCATTTGGGGAATTTTTAGTTTTACCTTCAAAACTTTTGTCAAGACTGCCAGTTCTTTTAAAGAGCTGATCAAAATGTGGCCTGCAGTACAGCACTCCCTCAAATGAATTGTAGTTGCTGAGCTGCAAAATGATATTTTGGTCAATGGAGTTGTATATGAAAACCAAAAATGTGGAAGCTAGAATTAACTTTTAATTTTAAAACGTACTTCAAGAACATGTATGTTGTTGTGAGAGATGAATCATCATATGGGCAACAGCCAACAGATGAAGATTAAATCATATATCTATAAAGAATAATTATTGGATAGAACAATGCCAGAGTAACTAGTAGATGATAAGGTTGCCAATCTGGAAACTGATCTAGTTCTGTTCTTGGGTTTGAACTATACATATACATATATCAAGTTTTGGGTGTCTGATCTATGATTCTGTAACATCAAGATGCAGATGAGATTTGATAAGCATAAGACTTCCAGTGTAACTGGACAAGAAAGAACATCTACCAGGTCGTTGTCAATAGCTAAAAGGTTTTTTCTTTTAGGCCAAAGGAGAAAGGGTATCTACTCTAAACAAGAAAGAAAGTAGCTTGATCATACAGATGGGAATTCTGAAGAAATATAGTCTTATAGCATTATAGGACCAGAAAAATGAAAAAAAACTTTAAGCAATATGAGATCCATTTTGCTTCTTCAATTGAACAATCTATCCCCAAAATTTTGCCAAAGAGAGATTTTAAGTCTTAAGTTAGTGAAACAATGTAAGATATATGTACTACCTTGAGGGTTCCCTTGCAGTGGTGGCATCGAAAGCAGGCTTTGTGGTAGATACGGTTATCAGCTGTTAGCTTATCAACCAGATACACAGTCTTGTCACAAGCCATGCACTTCTGGGTTGTTCCTGCAAATGCCATGACTTCTCCCTGTTCACACTATATTTCTTCTCTCTCTCTCTCTCTCTCTCTCTCTCTCTCTCTCTCTCTCCCTAAGAAAAACTGAAGGAGATAAGAAAAATGAATAAGAGAGATCAAAATATGTGGGTTGCAGGGGATTGCAGAGACCAAAAGCACAACTGTGGATGAATATGATTAAAGTTAGCTACAATTAGCAATCATGTTGTCCCATTTCCAAGCGCCCACCTACCACTCTCTGTCTGTTAGATATTTTTTCTCTTAATTAGCTTCCCCTGTCCTCCAAATGAAAACAAAGGCATACATTACATTTCATACAAACCATGCATTTGCTTTTTCTTCCTTTCTTTTTTCTTTTTTTCCTAATTGATTTCAGCATTATGAGATGGTAGCTGGAAATTCAAAAGGGATATGAACCAAATTTGCTGACTTCATTACAAAATTAATAGCTGGCCTGGCCAACATGGATGGCCCAATCTATTAGTTGATCAGCTGGGGGTATTCAGAAAGTGACTATAAATAAAGTTCGTTTGCTTTAATTAAGTTTCAAGCTAAATTAGGAGTGGGACACTAATAAGTGGGATACATGTTTGGATGGGTAAACCCTTTAAAAAAAATTGAACTTGAAGCATCAAATGACTTTAATTATCATAAGTTTGATGCTCCATGCCATCAAATGCCATCACTTCATCAACCCATTGCCTAGCTGGCTTGCTTGCTTCAGTTCTCAAACATATCTTTGCTCCTCCATGATTACACTGTTTTACATCGAACACGAATTTACTCGATTGACGATCTAACAACATATCGATTATGGTGAATTCCCTAGCTTCTTTTGACTAATTCACCTAAACATGTATGAGAAAAATCATGGGCAAAGTAACATTGCACGAGTCTGAAATGATGAGGCATCAGTTGTTTAACCTAATTCTTTTACCTTCTTCCACCGCACTCTATCATGATGACAGCTCCGTTCCATGTTCCATGCCTCCATGGGTGCCCCACATTGACTTTTGCGTTGCCGTAATGTGAGCTATATTTTGCCAATATAGGCCCCTTCTCCAGGTATTAGCAGCTCAACATTTAAATTATTTACATGCAAAGTCATAATTATCTGCAAAAGCTTGTGCTGTGTATTAGGAGGACTCATCCCATCCCATGTGAATGAAAGTGAGGTGACATAAAGCGTCTCCAAAACTGTAATCATAGTCCTCCCCAACGCAGAGCAATAGGCCCCGGGATACGCTGAATGGACCAAGATGGTCCATGGGCTTAATTAGAGATTCTTTCACACTTAAGTAGCATAAAGAAACTTTTATGTAGATAATTAACAAAGCGGGCATTTGGTCTAGTGGTATGATTCTCGCTTTGGGTGCGAGAGGTCCCGAGTTCGATTCTCGGAATGCCCCTTTTTATTTTATGTAAATTTGCTTTATATATATATAAAGGTTTTCAAGTTCAATACTAAACAAGTTTTTGAATTTTAAAACTTATTGTTTCTAAGAAAAATTGAAGTTTTGAGCAACAAACTCGCCCTAATTGTTCTGTACTTTTTTTGCCGCCTCAAGCTCCTACAGTTACCCGCCCCCAAATTTCAAGCCCTAGCCTCCTCAATTTGGAACCCACTCGACAACATAAACGAAGAAGACGAAGTTTTGACAGAAAAAAAAACGAAGACGAAGTGAAAATGGTTTTTGGGCAAGTGGTGATTGGTCCACCTGGGTCAGGGAAGACCACCTACTGCAATGGCATGTCTCAGTTTCTCCAACTCATTGGAAGGTAAATTTTTACCACTGCTTCTGGTTTTTTTCTTTCGCAACATTGGGGGCAAAGACCAAACCAAAGAGACTACACAGAAACAAATCTATGCCTCAAGAGGCCATTCTCTCTGCTTCTGGTTTTCAAGTTTTCCTTCCTATGGCGTCAATATTATCCATATGAATCTGTCTGGATCGTCTGCAATGACAACTTTATCATTTTGGGCATGCAGAAAAGTTGCTGTTATCAATTTGGATCCTGCTAACGATGCATTGCCGTATCCTACTCATTAGTTTACTTTTCATTCTTCATATTTTGCATTTTAGTAGTTTCCTTTCCTTGTAGTACGTTAAGCCTTTACTTAAAGTTAGATATGAATGTGCTGTGAACATAGAGGATCTTATTAAACTAAGTGATGTGATGGTGGAGCACGGTCTTGGTCCAAATGGAGGTGAGTATTTATATTTAGTATATCTAAATATCTATAAACACTTTTGGTTCATCACTTGGATTAAGTAAAATGTGCAAATGTTTGTTTTTCTTTTATTAGCAATGTTTGGATTGTAAATGAAAAAGACAATTGGATAGTTTACGGTCAGCTGTTATCAGATGGTTTGCGATCAGTTATTCGTGTTTATTTTTTTGCCAAGATCCTCTTAGAGTTATGATTAACCTTTTAATGGGTGCTTAAGAGTGTGCTTTTGTTAGACTCAACAAATGATGCTTTTTTTTGTGTGTGTGGAAATATTATAGTCTTTTAGAAGTTTTTTAATGGATTTTGTGAGCAACATACTTGTAAAGTATACGGCCCCTTCTGGATCTGCAACTTCTGAAGTTTCTTCTGTCATGTTCATCCAGGTCTCGTATATTGCATGGATTATCTAGAGAAGAATATTGACTGGTTGGAGGCGAAGTTGAAACCTCTTATAAAAGGTTTGTTTGTTTTGTCTTGCTTTACTTATTTAAATCAGGCTCTCGAAATTATGATCATGCTAATCCTTTTTTAGTTTGCCAGAGGTCATGATTATTCTTGACCATACTTTTATCCACCCGAAACTTTAGAGATGTCCAGTCCTGTCATGATGTTTGCTTGAGATACATCAATACTGCTTCTTCGACTTGTTACAACTGTCTTTTTTCATGTTGTTTATATTAAGAGAAGTTGTACAGTTCTCAGAGGGTGTGTGCATCTATTGACTGGTGTCTTCTGAAGGACTTATATACATATGATTGCATTGTTATTGCAAGAACCAGTTCAAATTGGAGCTAGTCCTCCTATGGTAGTTTGGGATTATACTTGATGTTTGACCAATGATGCCCAAGTATAAATGATAACTGAAGCCTTCAGGAAACTGCAATAAGGATCATTTGAAAGCAATTAAGCAAGTATATATGTTTTTCCTCGTTTTTGGTTGTCTAACTGCAGTCCTGTAGAGTTATGCATCATAATAGTTTGTTTGCAAGGAATGGCATGTTAGTGTTCTTGTAGGTTGTCCCCTGAGCAGTGATGAAATAACAGTTGTATTTTGCTGCCTAACAATGTTATTAACTTTGCAGATCACTACTTTCTCTTTGATTTCCCCGGCCAAGTCGAACTATTCTTTCTTCACTCCAGCACCAAGAATGTTATCATGAAACTCGTAAAGAAGTTAAACCTCAGGGTATGTTATAATCTTCTTTTGCAATCTTTGTAGCTTGCCCCATTCAACAGGACCATGATAGTTGATGTGCTTTGTGCTTGTTATCTTGATGGCTTCCTGATTTGATGCAGTTGACTGCAGTTCATTTGGTTGATGCCCACCTTTGCAGTGACCCTGGGAAGTATGTTAGTGCATTGCTTCTCTCTTTATCAACCATGCTTCATATGGAACTCCCACACATAAATGTCTTGTCTAAGATTGATTTAATAGAGAGTTATGGAAAGCTAGGTATGGTTCTGGTTCTTTTTTTTTCTTCCTGTTCCTTTCTTATACATAACATTTAAATATCTGATACTAATGCCGGTGCTCCTTATCCTTTGCTAATTTTTGCTATTTTCTTTTTGATGTCTGCAGCTTTCAACCTTGATTTTTATACAGATGTAGAGAATCTATCTTATCTTCAATACAGTCTTGATCAGGATCCTCGCTCGGCTAAATACAGGTGTGATTAACATTTGATCATGTGGAAAAGTTATGAAAAGCTTGCTTTGATATTAATAAAATGTTTCTTGTTTGTATTGCAGAAAGCTCACTAAGGAGATTTGTGATGTAGTAGAAGATTACAGTCTTGTCAATTTTGCAACTTTAGATATTCAGGCATGCCAATCCCTCTTCACTTTATTCCTGACGTCATGAACTTTTTATACTTCGTGTTTTAAGTCAGTTGCTACTTTACAGGATAAAGAGAGTGTGGGAAATCTAGTTAAACTGATAGACAAGAGCAATGGATACATTTTTGCTGGCATAGAAGCGAGCGCAGTAGAGTTCAGCAAGGTTGCAGTTGGTCCTGTTGATTGGGATTATTACAGATATCCTTTTAATTTTGATTCTATAATAATATGTTTTCTCTTATTCCTTTATCTTGTCCACTTTTTGATGCATGCTTCAAGCTGTAGCATAATTTAGAATGAAATTTGTCCACTTTTTGTGGAAAATGTCCTACTAAACCACTAGTTTAAGTATCTGAAAGAATAATTCTTACCATCACTTGGACTTGTTTGGCTGGGTATGAGTTAACTAGTCAACCTAGTCACCGGGTTTCTACATTTACATCTAGGTGGACCAGAATGTGTATGAGATCCTCATATCCAGATAGATAGGTAATGCTGCATTTGATTTGAATTGAAAAAACTTGAGGTCCAGGAAGTTCTTATGATTAGTTGATGCATCTGAACTGTGTGGTTTTGTATTTCAAAGTTTCTGTTGCATATAAACCAAAGAAATCGTTAGGTGTATTTCAATGAGTTTTGCTTAACAAAGTAGCTCACAGTTGCAGCGGTGCAAGAGAAGTACATGAAGGATGACGAAAATTTTGATGATGATGAACACTCTGGAGACTGACAATCTTCATTTTGTGAGAAAATGATTCTGGTGAGCATTGTATTGTTCCCCCGTCCTGCCTCATGATTAACAGTCAGGCACCTCTCAAGGTGGCAGATGCTTTGTGTTGACGAAATTAGGCAACTCGCTCTTGCGTGGCTATTTTTGTATGATATATGTTCGTCTCTTAGTCATGCTGTGTTTATTCATGTGAAAATGCAACTTACATTCAGCTAATTAATTTACTAGAGATTGAGCAATATGATTACATTGGTTTTATAACAACAAAACTGTGGTTTTATGGGGGCTGGATTGAATTATGCACTGCCAATGATTATGTCGATGATCTGATTAAGAATTTAATGACTTCTACTCACTTTCTATCCGTACATTGTAGTGAGTTGATAACAAAGTTTCTTCACGTGGAAGTGCGCGTACACACACACAGGAAATCTGCTTTGTTGAAGAAGATGCCTTTGAACTTCTAGATGTTATAGACTTCTGGAAAATAAATGTCTGCAGGTGAGAAGTGTCGGGGCCCCGCGCCAAATTGGAAATGGGGGGAATGAGTTTTATTATTATTATTTTTTTCCCTTTTTTCTCAAAACTTAAGTTTTATTAAGAACATTCGAATACATAATTTCTAAAAGAAAGAGGAAAGATGACAACACAGTCATCGAGAGTAGAGCAACAAATTGTATCCACCTTCGTCCTAAATATATGATTTCCATTATTTTTTAAAATTTGGGTGAATTTATTTTTATTTGATGATTAATCTTGTAATTTTCTTCTTAATTTATGTTCGATCAAGCGCGTGGAAATGGTCTACCGTGTCGCTCACGGCTCAAGTTGACTTGTTCTAGTCGTCTAAGCATACCTCATCATCATGATGTGAACATCTAATTTTGATTTTTTTTAGATTTTTATATTCTGCAGCAGGAGAGAAAATACAAAGGAAATAAATATAAATAAATCTTTCTTTCTTGCATGTGGAGCTATCAGCTATGAAATGAAATTAGATTCATGTGTGTTAAATAATAAATTCCACGAAATGAATGATTCAAATTCAAATATGTATATTCAAATCAATCATGGGCAGCAATACCATTGCAATCGAGTCATATTTTGACATATTAAAAAGGTAACAAAAAACATAATGACATATTTAGCTAAGGATTAGCTTAATCCTGTTTAAATGAAACGCGACGGCTTGTCACTTATCCATGGCTCTGGTTTTGGGTTTTCAACAATGAGATTAAGGCTGAGATTATTATCCTATTAACTAAACATTTTCATTTTTCATTAATATATTGTATTTGAAAGATCTCACAGGTGACGGGTGATGCCGTCCATCTATAAATATTGAGATCAAACCATGGATAAAATAACATGCGTATTGCACAAGTTTTGCTTCCTCAGACAGATTCTATTGATTTATTGCATGGAGCAAGCAATGACGGAAGCACCGAGATGGATTGCTCATTTTTCCTCTTAAATAACTGCAATTATTGCTTCTACTCCTTTTCAATAACTGCAAATTAATCGTTTACCACGTAAAAATCGACGACTTGTTAATACTTACGTAATTTAGCATATTAAAACATTCAAACAGGAGAAGTTATGAATCGAGATAGTCATAAATAAAAGCAAGAAAGAATAAGCTTAAGATCAAATACTCCCTTCTAGTCAATTTAATTATGAGTTTTCATGTATTGAATTAAAGATTTATATACTTATTTTGATTCGATAGGTGTTAATAAAAGCATGAGAAGTCATGAATCAAAAAAACTTTAATGTCATATTTACTTATCAGAAATGCGGATAGAATAAGGGATAAACCCCTTGTTTTTCCCATGCCAACCTAGCTAAAAGAAGATATGCTTCTTTATAGTGTGAAATTTCCAAATAACACTTGCTTTTTCTTGACCAAAACAAAAACAAAAAAAACTTGTTTTTACCGTGCCAACTTCCATTCCAACTAATAATTCATGTTCCCAGTGGGACAGTGGCCCTTCTAGATGACAAATATAAGCGCGTCGCTCAACATTTATTGATAAAAATAAAAAGTAAATATATTCTTATTAAAAAATTGGAGACCAAAATTCAATTCAATAATCCCCTTCTCCAAGCATAAAGACCAGGTAAAAACTCAAATTTTAAATATTTTATAGATATCCTTTGATTTGCATTTGCAAAGAACAATCCCAACGTGTATGCGTGGCATTTTTTTTTTTCCTTCCTCCCCAAGAAGTCAGTCAACCCACACCAAAATCCATGTGGACAGAAGAAGCTTCTATAGGATTTTGTTTTGTCAAACCTTGAATTGATTATGCTTTGTTTGGATCTGCCTTCTCTCACCACAGCAGCTCCTTT